AACGACCATTTTGATGTTGTTTTGTACTCAAAACGACGTCGTTTTGATCATTTGAGCCACATTTGAGCCACAGAGTTTGGGCCCTCTACCATTGCTCTTGTAATTAAATTCCATTTATTATTCAATGAGCCTCCACATATTTTTTTTTTTTATACTTTGCTTACTACTTAATTAAATACCACTTACTATTTAATAATTCTCAACTTCTTACCATGAGAATGAATGGTCAATATTGTGTTTATGAATTGTAATTAAATTCCATTTATTATTCAATGAGCCTCCACATATTTTTTTTTTTTATACTTTGCTTACTACTTAATTAAATACCACTTACTATTTAATAATTCTCAACTTCTTACCTAATCAAACTTCATTTAGTAAATGATACTAAACTTAATAACCAATCAAACTCCATTTACTACTTAATACTACTCAACTTTCCATTCAATCAAACATGACTTAATACTTAATAAGACATTACTTAATTAAAATAAAATTAAAAAAGACACTAATTAATTTGACGTGACGTATTATTTTTTTAAACCCCACTTACTACTTAATGAACTCTACTTTCTATTTCATTAGACTTTACTTACTATTTAATTTAATCTCATTTACTAATCAATGAGACTCAACTTATTATTCATTGATATTCCACTTACTATTTCATTAAACTTAACTTACAACTCAATCAAACATGACTACTACTCAGTAAGATTACATTACTATTGAGTGGTTAATAGAATTAGAACAAATTGTAAATTATTAGACTTGACTTAGTACTCAATAGGAAATATGAATGGTCATTGATAAATAAAAATATGAATTTTGAATTATTAAATAAGAAATATGAATTTTTAACAAAATGTGAAAATGTAAAAATTTATTAAATTTAACTTAATACTCGATAAGACACCACTTCATGGCCCTGTTTGGTAATGCTTATTTCCAGCTTATTTCAGCTTTTAACTTAATTTAAGCTATTTTGATGTGTTTGGTTCAGCTTAACAACACAACTTATAACTTTTTGTAAGTCAAAAATCAACTTATTCTTTGAGTGAGGGAGGAGAAGCTTAATTTATAAGTAAAAAATCAGCTTATGTTCACAGCTATAAGCTATAAGCTGTTAGGCTATAAGTTATAATCACTTTCCCACAGCTCTACTAAACGGGGCCCATGTGACTTGATTTACTATTCAATTAAATTTTACTTACAACTTAATGATTGGACTTGACTTACTACTCAATTAAATCTCATTTACAATTTAATAAGATTCTACTTACTACTTCAGTAGACTTTACTTACTACTTAATGATACTCTACTTACTACTACTCTATCGAATTTGACTTACAATTCAATCAAACATGACTCCTACTCAATCAGACCTTGTTACTATTAATTGGTAAGTAGAATGAGAACAAAATTGTAATTAGAGTTATAATAATTGGTAAGTAATAAATTAGAAATATGAATTTTAAATTATTAAACAAAATACAAAAATTGTGCTTGGTTACCACTTTTTAAAAGCACTTTTCAGAAAATTCTACTTTCTTATTTTCTGTGTTTTTTTGTTTTTACTGAATTTTTTTAATATTTTGAGCATTTTTTTTAATTTTTAGACTTACCTAACATAAATATACCTTAAAAGTAAAAAAAATTGAAAAAAACCTTTTAAAAATTTACTGAATACCAAAAATACAAAAAAAATACGAGAATTCAGTACATTTTTTATATTTTTATGTATTTATTAATTTTTAAAAATATTTTTTCACAAATTTTTTACTTTTTAAATACATCTAAGTAAGGTGCATCTAAAAAGGTAAAAAAAAATGTTTAAAATTTTAAAAATATTCACTAAAAACAAAAAAATACGAAAACCAAAAAACTCAGTTTTCAAAAAACTTAATTCAAAAAACTCAAACCAAACACACTGAAATCTTCACTTAGTACTAAGAAAAACACCACTTCAACTTGACTTACTACCCAAAAAAAAAAAAAAATCTCACTTACTACTTAATACGATTCCACTTGTTATGTCATTAGACTTTGTTTACTATTCAATTAAACCCTACTTACTAGTTAGTGAGACTCACGTTACTATTTATTGATACTTAACTTACTACTCAATAGAACATGGTTTACAACTCAATCAAACATGACTATTACTCAATAATAGTCCATTACTATTTAGGCCTCGTTTGGGAACAGGCTAATTTAGTAATTTTTTGGCTAATTGGCTAAAAAGGTAGGTAAAAAACATTTGTATGTTTGGGATGACTTTTTGACTAATTACGAAAAGCTGTGCAAAAAGTAGAGAGAAGCCGTAATTGTTGACTTTTTGGTATGACTAATTGGCTAATTTAGTAACTTTTTGGCTAATTGGCTAAAAAGGTAGCATCCCAAACGAGGCCTTAGTGGTAAATAAAATTAGAACAAATTTTAAGTAGAATCACAATGAATAGTCCATGATAAATAAAAAGATAAATTACAAATACACCCTTTGAGATTTACTTAAAATACGAATTGCCCCATGTGGTCTAAAAAAATATAAATACCTCCCTGTCAGAATTTTTTATTTAACAGAATTAATTGAAAAAGTAAAATTTCTAACTGTTTACCAATACAATAATAAAATTATCTGAATTATTAATTGAAATAAATTTTAACATTATTAAAAACTGTTAATTAACTTAATGATTTATTAATAAAATGATCTATTTGTTGTGAAATTAGAAACCTTAGAGGGTATAATGTAATTTCTAGAATCATAGGGGGTAATTTATAATTTAAATAAATCTCAGGAGGTGTGTTTGTAATTTATCCTAAATAAAAATATGAATTTAAATTATTAAATAAGAAATATGACTTTTAAACAAAATATAAAAATGTAATAATCTATTACTTACTGCTCACTATTTCATTAGGTTTGGTACTCAGTAACTATTTCATTATGGCCTTGTTTGGTAAAGACTATTTTTTGTTTTTTGGGTTAAAATTTATAAAAAGACAAAATAGACTAAAATAACTAATAAAATAAAATGTCACATCAAACTTATAATCATTTCACTTTTTCTCTTACAAACATCACATCCAATTTCAAAAAAAAATTCAACCATCTTCCAAAATACAAATATTTTAGCCTACAAAACAATCAAAAACTAAAATAGCCTACTAAAATAGCAAAAAATTAAAATAGGCTAGTATTCAATTAACTCCACTTACTAGTTAATGATATTTCACTCACTATTCAATTAAACTCCATTTACTACTTAATAAGACGCAACTTACTATTCAATAAATTTTTTTCTTCAATTAGGTGAAATGTTGTTCCAACAAAACCTTAAAATTTATAAATTAAAAATATCACTTAATGTTAAAATAAAACATAGATAGAGACAGATAAATTCTTACCTGGAGAATTTCTTGAATTTGTAAAAATCAAAATCACCCTATTTCACTTATCCTTTCTTCAAACATTATTAAAAAAAAAAACACTATTGTTCATGGTGTGTGCAAATGAATTGGGAGGTCTTTTATATTTTCTTAATTAAGTAATTTAGATTTATTCATTTATTGTCATTTTAAATGTTGCTCATGTTGTGGTAGGTAAAGAAAAATAATTTTTGTTGATGTATTCATTTATTGTCAATAATAAATGTAGATATATGAGAGATATTCCCAAGTATAGTTTGACATCTCTCAAGTTGTCATCTCAACTTAAGATATAAATGAGAGATCCTCCATTGTGCTTCAAAATATTGTAGATATTAAATTTGTAAAAACATATTCAGAGCTATTCATATGAATTTATGGAGGACAAAAATAATTTCATTGTGGATATTAAATTCATAAAAACTGTATTTATAAAAACTCCTAAAAGGTTGGTATATGAAATTCATATAAAATTTGTGAGTTTTATAAAATAATTAATAAAATGATCTGGATTTGAAATTTAAGAAAAAAAAATTTAAAACCAACTTTGATATATTTATTTTGATGTTTATAAAATTTAATTATAAATTTATTCTTAACTTTATATTTATGAGTTTTAATTTCAATTTCAAATATATATTTCTTTAATAAAATAACACAATACATTTTATTTCTTACAATTTATATTATGTCTTAAAAAATCAAAAAAAAAAAAACAATAATTAAAAAGAATAAACAAAATGTGGAGTGGAAATAGCCAAGTATGGTGTGTTAAACAATAATTAAAAAAGCACAATTTTCGATGTATGACCTGTTACCTGTTGAACTAGTAAGGTGTCATTTTGAATAGTAAATATGAGTTTATAAAATAATAACTTCTCTCATAGTAAATAATAAATATGGCGTGTTGCAATAGTAAGCTAATTTAACAAATATTTTATTTAAAATACTCAAAACTACTTTGTTTGTGAGAATTTACCTTGGTTTTCCAACCAAATATTAATTATTTCAAGATAGTGTCTTATCCAAATCCAAATCCAATTATTCATGTACCATACCTCAGAACCACATTCTAGTATGATAGAATTTTCCTTGCTGTTCTGATTGAAGAAAGGCTTTATGCTATCGTAATTTCTCATTCTAAGACCATCTCTAACGCTGAACCAAACCCAGCATCAGATTTAAATTTTGATGAAAAATCCACATTTTCACGCTCCAACGGTTGCACCAAAGTCATACCAAAATGAGAATTCAGCAAACAAGACATCAAACTGAGATCAAGACACAGATTTTACCAAATCACTGTTACTGACCGTTGAAAATGCTACACCGGTCGACCAACCGGTTTCAATTTCAAATATATATTTCTTTAATAAAATAACACACTACATTTTATTTCTTACAATTTATATTATGTCTTAAAAAATCAAAAAAAAAAAAAACAATAATTAAAAAGAATAAACAAAATGTGGAGTGAAATAGCCAAGTATGGTGTGTTAAACAATAATTAAAAAAGCACAATTTTCGATGTATGACCTGTTACCTGTTGAACTAGTAATCCCTTCAAGGTGTCATTTTGAATAGTAAATATGAGTTTATAAAATAATAACTTCTCTCATAGTAAATAATAAATATGCCGTGTTGCAATAGTAAGCTAATTTTACAAATATTTTATTTAAAATACTCAAAACTACTTTGTTTGTGAGAATTTACCTTGGTTTTCCGACCAAATATTAATTATTTCAAGATAGTGTCTTATCCAAATCCAAATCCAATTATTCATGTACCATACCTGAGAACCACATTCTAGTATGATAGAATTTTCCTTGCTGTTCTGATTGAAGAAAGGCTTTATGCTATCGTGATTTCTCATTCTAATGTGAGCAATCTAGCACGAGTAAACTTCAAAATTCAAATTTTGATGCTCATTTGCCTCCAGAACCCTTCATGACAACCATTTACCATCCCTCAACAAGACTGCAACCTGGCACTTTCCTCAATTGTCTCTCTTCCATGTCCGACCTCACTTTATTCACGGTTGGAGATGCTCTAATGTGAGCAATCTAGCACGAGTAAACTTCAAAATTCAAATTTTGATGCTCATTTGCCTCCAGAACCCTTCATGACAACCATTTACCATCCCTCAACAAGACTGCAACCTGGCACTTTCCTCAATTGTCTCTCTTCCATGTCCGACCTCACTTTATTCGCATCTGTCCACCTTCCAGCCGCTGCATAAACATTGTATAACATCACATATGATCCAGGATTTTCAGGGTCCATTTCAAGGAGCAACCTTCCAATTTCCTCCCCTATTTGAAGATTTCCATGGATTATACAAGCACCCAACAAAGACTCTAACAGGCTTAAAGAAGGTTTATGGGGCAACTTCGTAACCATGTCATAAGCCTCGTTCAAGTGACCGGTTCTCCCAAAAAGGTCCACCATGCAAGCATAGTGTTCCATCCTCGGTACTATCCCATTTTCTATCATAGAATTGAAAAACATCCGGCCTTGCTCAACAAAACCAGCATGACTGCAAGCTGATAAAATACTGACATAAGTAATGTCGTCAGGCTTCATACCCTTAAGTTCCATTTGTGAGACAAGTGCGAGGGCTGCTTCACCATCACCGTGCAAACCATGCCCATTGATCATCACACTCCAGGAGACCACATCCTTTTCAAGTAGACCATCAAATAGCTTCCTTGCAATTGAGATGTTCCCACATTTTGCATACAAATCAATCAGGGCATTAACGACAGCCACATCTTTGTTGAATCCCTTGTGTATCACATAAGACATTACACAGTTTGTGAGATTTGGGTTGTTTATCTGAACGCAAGCTGAAATTAAGCTCAAAACTGTCATGTAGTCAGGTTCCATTTCTGTGTGAAGCAATTGGCTGAAGAAAGCAATTGCTTTTTTTGCATTTTTTGTTTGTACATGAGCAGAAACAATAGTGTTCCACAAAGAAATATTCCTTTTCTCCCCCATTTCAAACAGCAAGAGACAATAATTCATATTTCCAAATCTAGCATACATGAATATAAGAGATGTAAGAAGAGAAGCTACCATTGCAATCCCTGTCCTAGCTGCATAAGCATGAATAGACTTTCCTTGCAACGGGGTATAGCATACAGGTAATATATTCAGCAAGGTTACATCGTTTGGTTTCTGATCCTCCTTTATCATTTGGCAAAACAACAGCATGACATCATCATGTAAGTTGTTATATCGATAGCCTGTGATCAATGCATTCCAAGAAACCATACTCTTATTAAGCATGCTATCAAAAAGTAACTTGCCACCATGAAATTCTCCACAGTTGAAGTACATGCTGATAAGTGCATTAGCTAAAGAAACAACGGACGCAAACCCCATTTTGATTGCACGACCATGAATACCCATTCCTTGCACCAAATTTTCAGGTCCACAATAACAGGGAAGAACACTTACCAGGGTAACCAAATCGAAGTCCATCCCCTCTCGTTGCATCTGGTCAAGAAGAGCAACTGCATTTCTTGCTTCTCCATTGTGCACACATCCAGATATCAATGTATTCCATGAAATGGCATTTCTTACACCCATTTTACGGAATAGCTTAAAAGAAGAAAAAAGCTGATAGCAGTTGGAGTAAAATGCCAAGAGTGTGTTCGACACATTGAGGTTAAAATCAAATCCGTTTTTAAGACTATATGCATGGGCAGATTTACCGGGTAAAATGGCCTCTAGCTCAGAGCAGGCAGAAAGAACACAAACGATAGAGACTGCATCAGGATTAAACCCCGCAAGCTGCATTTCACGGAATGCATCCAAACTAACATCCCAATGTCTATTGTGCACGTATGCAGAAACCAATGAATTCCACGACAGGAGATTTTGCACTGGCATTTGATTGAAAAGAAACTCAGCTGAACCCATATCTCCAAGCTTGGCATAAATTGATAATATGGCTGTCATTACAGGAAGTTGGTCAACTAACCCATATTTTACTGCACACGTGTGTAGTGATTCACCATACAAAATGCAACCAAAGCACTCACAAGAAGGAATGATGGACAGAAAAGTTATCATATTAGGTTGCACATTTGCTTGGAGCATTTGCTTAAACAATGCAAATGCCTCATTGGGTTTCTGGTTTTGTGTATATGCAGAGATCATGGCATTCCAGATGGTAACATTCTTTTCCAGTAAACAATCAAACAATTTCCTACCAACATCAAAGTCCCCACCACCGGCATACATCAAGATCAAAGCAGCTATCAAATATTCATCCAAAAAATATCCTAACTTTACAGCAAATCCATGAAGAGATTTACCCATATGCAGATATCCCAAACGGGTGCACACTGGAATTGTGCTGGCCAAAGTGCTCACATTAGGCTTGAAACCCATCGCACAGATCTCCTGGAAAACATGAAAGACCTCCTCATTGAGCCCATTCAAAGAATACCCAGAAATCAATGCATTCCATGGAACCAAGTCCGGTTGAGAAATTCTATCGAGCAGTCGACGTGCACTCCCCATTTGATCACATTTGGCGTACAAATCAACAAGAGCTGTCTGCACAACAAGATTGTCTCCAAATCCATTTCTCAACACAGAACAGTGTAACCCTTTACCAATCTGAAGAGCACCCAGAGCAGAACACGCCTTGATCACAAAAGGAAACGTAAAATTATCAGAAGGGCATCCCGAAATTCGACATTTTTTATAGACAGACAAGGCGTCTTCGAATAACCCAACATTACACAGAGACCTAACAGTTGAATTCTGCAAGAACACACTAGGCTTTTCGATTACAGCAAAAGCAGAGAGAACTAATTCGGGAGAACCCAGATCAAAACAACGCCTGAAAAATTCTACAATCAGTGGTTGGTGGTCGATTAGGCCGTGCACGAGAAGGAGAGATTTGAGTGGCTTCAAGTCTTCGACTACTCGGCGGCAGAGATTTAACAGACGAAGAATGTGAGTTCCGTGAGGAGTGGATGAATAGTGGTTTATGGGTTGAGTAACAACGAGTGAACTGTAGCACAACTTCGTAATCCTAGAGAGCATCCTCCTCCGCCATCGTTCAATGTATTCTCATGGCTTATTAGCAAGCAATGGGTAGGGCTATAATTGAACAAGACTAGTTCAGTAGCAGAAATTTTGAACAGGGTATCATTCGCATGACTTGAATTGAATGAATTAAAAGAACACCCCTACCATGCAATAAAGACCATTTTTTGGACAACAAACCACTCTCAAAACATACATATCATCCCGGAAAAATTATTCAACCCGTCACCATGGTTTCATACTCATTTATTAATCATCATATATCGTATTCTCAATTACTCAATATAAAATCAAATCATGAATTCTGTTTTCTTCATCAATCACAACACCCTAAAATATCTTCTTACTATGCTCCAGGAGCACTATATAACCAGTCGTCATCCAGAGCAAAAGTATGCACTTGTTTAGCATGGAGAGTTGGGAGGTTTTTTTTTAAACTATTTTAGACACAAAAAGATAAATTAAGTCAAAAAATTAATAAAATAAAATATCACATTTAAATTAAAATTATTTAATTTTTTTCTCATAAAAATTAAAAAAATAAAATAAAATAAAATAAAAACTTATCTCAAACTAGACTTTTTAATCCCAAACTAATAATTAAAAGATTAAAAAGTCAACTCAGATCTCGAACGAACCCTATTTATTGGTTTAAATATTATCTTCTAAAATTACTAATAAGTAACGGTGGTGCTACATATACCAATTAATGTACTAATTAATATACCAACACTAGTCATGACATTATTATTAACTCCACTCATTATACAAATTATAAATATAAAAAACATATTAAATTATGACAAATTGTAAATTAATTCATTAATTAATACACTAATTAATACATATAACATTATTCAATAAGGAATCTCTCACGAAAACAGAGAACCAATGAAAAATCCTTGTGATTCATCGATTTCAACTACTTTAGATCTGTTTAGTGTAATTTATAATGTTATTAACAAATTGTTTTTTCTGAAACTTTTTTATTACTGTTTGGTACAAACTCTGCTAAAAATTTATAAGGCAAAAATAAATGAAAAAAGCTATAAAAAAAATTATTATTAAGTAAAAAAGAGCTCAAAAAAGCTGTTTTATTTATTTTTTTATTTCTATTTTTTTTGCAGTAAAAAATTGCACCAAACATACCTATCATTCTATTATGTATTCAATTTCTTATTATTCTGCTATGTATTCAATTTCTTTTGAACCACGAAAGAGACGGATTCGATGGCAAATACGTGTAGGGCTGTCCGAATGCTCTTGGGGACAAACTTTAAAACAGAGCTGATTTTTCTGGTCCTTTATGTTAATGTAAATTGTAAATGTAAATTACCACTCCCACTCTACCTACCACCTCCACTACCACCTTCACTCCCACTCCACCTACTACTCCTATCACCTACTACACTCCACCAAACCTACCTCCACCACTCACTCCTCACCTACTCCAGAATCATCTCCTATATAATAGGAATTCTTGTACAAAATATAAACACAACAATCTTGTAATAATACATCAATCAATAATATACATCAATTTATTTTACATGGTATCAGAGCTAGGTTAAGAACCTAGTATTTTCGCTTCCACTTTAAAAAGGACAACTTTTTTTTTTTTTTTGCCAGTGTCTTTCACCGAAGATGTAAAAATTTGTGGCGCCCCCCGCCCGGGTACAACATTTATAACTGAGCTAATTTTTCTGATCCTTTCAAATTTTTTTTTTTTTTTTTTTTTTGTTGGGGAGGGGGGACATTATATATACCTCCCGAGATTTGACTAAATTATAAATATTTCTTAAAATTTGAAAAATTACAAATTTTTTCTTGAATGTTATATTTACATAACAAATTAGAGAATAATTTGTTATGAAATTTAAACTTCAAGAGACAAATTGTTATGAAAATACAAATCTCAAGAGGCGAGATGTAATTTCTAAAATCTCAAGAAGGTATCTATAATTTAACCAAACCTCAAGAAAAGTATATATAATTTGCCCTTTTTTTTAAATAAAGATTGGGATTCCTTTGGGGGTCACCCCTTAACCTCCTTTTCTTTTGATTGGTCAACTTTTTTTTTTGTTTTTCCTCTCTCAATCCCTAACCCCTCGTGTGTGTAAGAGTGGTCAGAGTAGAAGTTTTAAAAGGTCTGAATCATTGCCCGATGTAAAAAATCCCCCCCCCCCAAAAAAAACAAAAACAAAAACAAAAACACACACAAATGGGTTGGTGATTTGGTTAAACCTCCGTTTAAAAAGTGGGTTGGCTTTTTAACTTTTTGACTTTTTAGCTATTTTAGCCTGATTTGAGAAAGACATTTGACTTTTTTTAACTTTTTTTGTGAGAGAGGATTGTAATGATTATGAGTTGGATTTGATGTTTTATTTTTTGTGGCTAAAATAGCCTATTTTATTTTTTGTGACTATTTTAACCAAAAAAGCCTGACTTTTTTCTTGCCAAAAAAATAAAAAACATTGACCAGTGGGTGTTGATTTGGTTAAGCCTCCGTTTAAAAAGTGGGTTGATTTTTTAATTTTTTGACTTTTTAACTATTTTAGCCTGATTTGAGAAGGACTTTTTGACTTTTTTAACTTTTTTTTGTGAGAGAGGATTGTAATGATTATGAGTTGGATTTGATGTTTTATTTTTTGTGGCTAAAATAGCCTATTTTATTTTTTGTGACTATTTTAACCAAAAAAGCCTGACTTTTTTCTTGCCAAAAAAATAAAAAACATTGACCAGTGGGTGCTGGGGGTCTCCCCAGTGGGGTCCCTGTCTTTTTTCATCTAATTAATTGATGATGACGTAAGGCCCTGCAGAGTTGGGCCAATCGGCATCTTCCTTGTGTCAACAATTCAACATTAATTCTCTCGAAAAAAAACAAAAAACAAAATCCAACATAATCTCTGGTATCAAGCTTGAAAATTGTTAAAAATACTGTATTATTGATTGATATATTGATTGATATTGATTGATATTTTACAATTCCTATACAATCTATATATAGAAGAAAATGTGGTAGTAGGTGTAGTGGAGGTGATAGTGGGTTAGGTGAAGTGGAGTGTGTGGTGAAGTGGAGGTAGGTGAAGTGGAGTGTGTAGTGGAGTAGGTGAAGGTAAAGATGGGAAATTCTAACAAAAATGCTTCATTATCTACAGTGAGTTCTATACCAGATTCATCCCATGCCGAACCAGAGCAGATTGTTGACCCTGCTTCATGTAATAGATTCAGAATTCTTCTACAGAATGATTTTAAACATTGATGCTGTATTTAGTTGAGGAATTTGGAAAGAGAAAGAAAAAAAAAAAAAAAAAGTGAAATGTAAATAAAATATATCTATATTTCATATAATTTCACACACCTTTTCCCTTGCCAAATCTCCCAATCAAACGCAATATGAAAGAGCTGAAAACATTCCAATGTAATCAAAATAAAAACATACATCATTCCTCAATGTTTCAAATCCAGCATCATAGCTCTTAATCATGAACCATAGTAAAATAAACCGTTATCACACAACATTGTACAGACATCTAGTTCAATTCTAATATCCATAGGAAGTTCTCCTCATCATTCTCATGAAGTCATCCACAGTTACTTCTCCATCCCCTGTATGTTCCAAAATCCATCAAATTAATAAGAATGCTAAAATTGTGAAAGAAGTACCAATAAAAGAACAATTTTGAACAGAAGGTCGTGCTTTTCTTAATTACCAAGGACTTCTCCCATGTACTTAACTGCATTTGAGACCCATATAATGGTGAGTTTTACAATCATGTGCCATGGCGAAACCAAGGAGATGAACAAAAATTAGAGAGGACGAGAAAAGCAATGCAACAAAACTAGTGATTCCAGTTATTTTTCATGCTCTTTCTGACTGCCAAAAGTGGGATTTCCCATTCACATTTTGGGTAAAGATAAGTTTTGGCTCCTCAACTCATAATATAATTACAACCCTTCAATCTATTTTTTCTTTTCTTTTCTTTTCTTTTGCTTATGTATCAGGGCCAATACCTACTTCTCTGTATTTTTGTTTCACGAGTACCATCCCTGTACATGTGTTGAATTGTGTGCTTCTGCAAACCTTTGCATGTGCGTGTGCGCGTGTGACAGAGAGTGGCACAAACAAAATAGTTCTCAAACTCAGGAACAAAGAAACTCAAATATGATATGCCAGGTGGTTCAAACAAAAACATGAAGCACACAGCTTAAAGAATACTGCAAATCAAAGTAGGAAAAGGTACACTTACGATCACGATCTGCTTCCTCGATCATCTCTTGAATCTCTTTGTCAGAGAAGTTCTCGCCGAGCTCCTTTGCAATTTGTGAATGTCTGAGGCAGATATTCTTTCCCTAATTCAAATGACATAAAATCAGTGGCCAACAACAAAAAGACAAAACAAGGTGTTCTTAATCAGTATCTAACATTTTTATCTTGGTCAATGATGTGGAACGCTTTTGTAAGCTCTTCCTTACTGTCCCTTTCTCCAATCTTGGCTGTCATCATGTGCACAAATTCATCAAAGTCAATTGCACCACTGCCATCCTTGTCTACATCAGCAATCATTTGATCGATTTGCTGAATCATAAAATAAAATGAGATGTTAGCTGGAAGTCCTAATTTCTGTAATAGAGAGTTATATACAACAATGCAAAAAAAAAAAGAGGAAGAAGAAGTTGAGAGTACACATTTACTGTTTATCTAGAGAAACAATCAGGAAAGAATAAAATTTCCTCATCTTTAATAGAAAATTAAATTTCATCAAGTACGCGCAGAGATGATGAGGACGCTATCATTTGTAGGAACAACAGCATATTAAGAGAGAGTTGGAAACATATGAATAAAAAAATAGCCGAAAGACACAGAACAGAGAACAGACCCTTTATAGAGGAGAGAGATGCTAAAATAAAAACAGAAACTAGATCTATATTTCCACTTTTAACATCCAAGTGAAGGAATATCCATAGGAAAGAAGACTCTAAGATCTCTGAAATGAAACATCCAGTTCAGCACTTAGCCAGTAATCTACAGTACACAGTAGCTCCAGCTTTTTAATTTCTGCAAGACTAAATTACAAATGCTAACCCTTCAACTACGTAATTGTTGGTGATGATCACCAGTTAACCAGTGTTAAGTTCCAAGACTTGACTACTTAGCAATCCCTAAATTGGATCAGGTGACCAATAGATCCAAACCAGTTTCAAACTCAACCAAAATCCGATGAGTTATCTCAGCCTCTCAGTCAAATTACCAACTAGTTCACCTCATTAGTTAGGTAGAGATTTCAGAAGAAGAAAACACTCAACTGGAAAAAGCCTTACTCTTTTATTAAAGGACAGAAAGACCTTAACTACAGTAGATGATATAATTAAGATTTAAAAATGATCATTTCTTTCGTGAAAATACAGTTTGACTACCTACAACTTTATCTTAAACTTCGTTAAAAAAGGAAACGAAAGGCCATGTGAAATTACTTTATAAGGCTGAAGCCGAGGACCAAAGTAGTGTAATCGGATTGCAAAGAAAGGATTATGTTAAGGTTTAAATACAGTGCCAATTAAATCTATTCAATAAGAGCAACTGACAGTTATGAGAGAGCGAGAGAGGCCCATTAAATTATTCAGGCAGGTCCCTCTTTCCTTTGGCAACAATGTGTACAGGTTAAAAAACCTACACAGAATCTGGTGTAAAACAAATAGGTATTAGGATTTAGATGGTACCTCTCCAGTCATTTCAAAGCCCAGTGCCCTGAAATGAAATTATATTAGTTCCAATGTTTGCACTACTCATTAACCTAAAAGGCAATAGTGCTCAGGGCAACTTATTCTTACCTCATTGCAACGTTCAGCTCTTTGGCATCAATAGTGCCTAGAAAACACAAGTCAAACAACAAATTATAAAAGGTTCAAGACACATATTAATACACACGCACACATTTCAATACCAGAGCCATCAGTGTCAAAAAGCTCAAATGCTTCCTTTATCTCTTGCCTCTTCTGTTGAGTTAACCCATGATGACGTCCTCTAGGTTTCTCTTTCCTAGATGCAACTCTGTAAAGGCTTGCCTGATAGGTATTGAAATTCAATGAAACACTTCAGCAAACAAATATGCATCCTAGAAAGCTTAAAAGAAATATCTAATTTACTGAACAGGCAAGGTAAAAGCTATAAATGGGGAAAAGATTTCAAACTTAAAAGAGAGGAGGGGACGATGGAACTACAGTTGCATCTGTATTCTGTAGCTATGCAAAAATAATGATATGGCATCCACTTAAAGTCCTCTGCAACTATATGATATCACAATAAAGTGTGGGAAAATGATGAACAATCAAACACAATGCGCCTTTCTCTCATTAAATTATCAATTTGACTATTTTACTAAACAAATAGAATAAAGGCCCAATATAATGGTCAAAGTATGTGAAACCATAGGGTGTTAGAATAAACTACAGTAAATACCCTATCATAAATACTTAAATAATCAAAGGAACCTGAAATGAAATTATGATGAAGCCCAGAAATATCAAACTATAATTAGCAGAGCTGGCAGAAGGAAGAGCATGCCAGCATGGTGTTACCTGGTTTCTGATTTGCAACATTCAGTGGTCAAAGCATATCTGAAACACAGTGCCCAGCTGAACCTCACTAAAATTTCACGCCATGACAAACTTTATATAAATATGTTTATACCATAAAAGGGGTAAAATTAGTCAATTTAATCCAGACATGAGAGACGCAGTCTGTCTTTGCTCACACTTCAAACCCAAGGCTGGCCATAGATAGCCTTAGTAAGCCTCATGATTGGATCTCAAAAAAATTGGGCTATCATAGAGTCAAAGTGAAACTATATTAGCCTCCAAACTACAATAGTCTCTAAGGGATTGTTTCGTTACACAAATTGTATCATTCCATTTGGGTTAATTTAAAATAAATGTAGTCATTTAAAAGAAAAAACAAATTTTTTAATTTTCATAAAGAAAGTAAGCTTAAATTTTTTAGGTGCTTCAGTTTTACAACAAAACATATTAGTTGTCTAATTCTTAAATAAGCCAATTCTAAAGCATCTCAATTCACATTTTTGGGACAACCAAACAGGCCCTAATTGTCCCCAAACATCAGCTCCTTACATGCAAAACTTGTGAAGATATCCAATACAGAAGCTATCATAAATTGTTAAAAACATAAAATTTTATCCAAGGAAACTATTAAACTAATGACCTAGTGATCTCTCATACTTGATAGTACTGCTGAGGTCATCATAATTTGTCTGACTTGCTATTATCGAAAGGACATGAATTTCTAGCTACACTACATCATGTTCAACCTTAATTGAAGTAGATTAACCCATCTTAGCTCAGATGGGCATTACTGTTCTTCAACTCATGATTTGACACATTTTCTTTTATCTTTCATCATTAAAATGACCTAAATCCATAATTAAACGGTCTTCAAGCTGTAAATTTTATTCTTAACAAACCTGATCTTAAAATTGGTTCTATATGCTGCTCGACAAGCCTAATTTACATGAAATGACATAAATTTTATCAACCAAAACACAAATCTGATCGAATGAAACACGAACAAAACAAGGCACTAAATTTCAATCCCTAAAATTAAATTCGTAGCGAGTACATACACACAACTGAGGTTCGTTTGTTTTCAGAGATAGAACGGAAGAAATTCATAATGAGGGAATTAATAGCGAGGAGATTGATTGTGAGAGAATTAAGTAAAATTTTGTTTATTTTTATGATAGTTGTTAGTGTGGAGATTGTTAAATTATTTTCATATAAAATAATAAAACAAATAAAAAAATACTAAAAGATTAAACATTAATGTTTTAAAAAAAATTGCCCACCATGTAAAAATTTTTAAAATAAATAAAAAATTTCAAGAAAAAAAATAAAACAAATAAAATAATGATTTTTCTTAACAAAAAATACAAAAAATTATTTTTAAAAAAATGCCCAACATATAAAAAATAAAATAAAAAATAAAAAATTTCTAAACCGGTGACTATTTTACTAATATCAAGATTGGAGGCCATTAGAATCCCCTGGCGATTGATAATCCGGAGCTCACTATCAATCTCTCCCCATCTCTCAAAACAAACACAATGTTAATTGGCGATTCATAATCCGGAGCGCACTATCAATCCCACCCCATCTCTCAAAACAAACATAATATTAATGGGTACCATCTCACTACCAATCCCAATCTCTCCTCTAACTCTCCAAACAAACGGGCCGGAGGGATTAAGACAGAATCAAATCGAAGAAAGGAACTGAACAGCTTAAACCTAATTTTGAGCAGAAGTAAATCAATTCATAAAGTATGTATGGTACAGGAGAAGATCAATACGAAGCAAAGCTAGGGTTTAAAATGAAGAAACGAACCATTGTCCTGTTTGATGATCGTCCTGGAGCGATGAGCTCTCCTCTGTACAAAGCCTTGGGTTTAGAGTGGATACGATTTGCTGATTAACATATGGGTATGTATATTGTCGATCAAGATTGGCGGGTCGGGTCAGGTGAGTGGTCGAAATTTTTACAAGCCCAGGCCCAGCCCTGGGTGGTTTAAGGCTCGTAATTTCAGTAGCCAGAAGCTCGTTGGTACAATGGGCTGGACCCATGGACGCATTTTTTTTGCTAAAAAAAGGGGGCTGGACCCAGCTGAGAAAAAATAAAATAATTTTTGATGTGATGAAAATTTAATCTGAATTTTATCATAAAAATGAAATGTAAAATGTATATTTAAAATTAATATGCTGAATGAATCTTATTTATATATTTTAATTCTACATAAAATTTTAAATAACTTTTTTCTAGATATGCGGCAGAATTGGAAATGAAATGTTTAGTATTTTAGTTGATTTAACAATAGACTTAGGTCTCGTTTGGTAACTACATATTTTAGTTAAAAAGTTAAAAAATCACTATAAATTATCACATCATTTTCTCTACTTTTAGTATATTTTTTTGTAAAAAATCAAAAAATTATCAAAATAACTTATTCCCAAACGAGACCTTACCAACAGAATAAATTATTATGTGATTTGAAATTTCAAGTGAGAAATAATTTTCAAAACCTCAAAAACCTTAAGAAGGTTATTGTAATTTATATTTTAATATAAAGAAAAATATTATACAAATAGATTTCTTATGAACTTTTTTTTCTTTTTAATAATCTTACACTTATCATATTATGTTTATAGTCTTATTTGTAAAAACAATATTGATGTAACAGGTCTCCCTAACTACTATATGAGTCCAATGTAGTACTAACAGATTGTTTTTATAGGACTCACTGATATTTATCTATCATTTTATTTATTGGTGACAAAATCTAATAAATCAATTTTAAAAATTATTAGGCAATCTTGAAATATTTATGTGATATTGCTTACAATTTATAACAAAACACACTCATGCATCATCAGTAGTCTCTCCACTATCTAACAAAAATAAGTGAAAAGTGTTAATATTTTTTACTACATTATTAATTAAGTTAAGCACGCAAACAATGACAATAACTATTTAACTAGGCAAGCAATGTGCAAGGATTCTTTGTCTCCAAATAATCTTGTTCCTTGTTTCAATTCACTCATAACCATTAGATCATATAAGAATCTCAAGATGTGAAAATCTCAAGATATATTCAATAATTGTAAGTGAATTGAAATAGGAAGATAAAGTTATTTAGGGACAGAAAATCCTTGCTAACAAGCAAGCAAGCGCCAAAGTAGGAATAACAGCAGCGAAATCAAAGCTTAAGGGAAGAAATAGATACATAAAAACTTGCATACAGATTCCACATATAAAGTGTTTTCTTACAACATTTTGTTTCAGTCAACGAAGAAAGTAGGAAATTTTTACATGTGTATGATCTATATGCAACTAAATATAGACGAGAGACTCACCCATTTGCTTTTGATCTCAATCTCTGTCATTATCATCAACCATAAACTTTCCTACACAACCCAACCTCGAAAACTTTTCCAAAGTTGTCCTTATTGCTTCAACATCACAGGCCAACCTTACAGCCGAACACTGTTTGTTTTCTAATTTACAGTATTCTAATCTTGTACTAATCACCGCACTAAACAGTTATTTATTTCTCCAGTGCACCTCCCACTTTGTTGCTTACGCGTCACAAGCGCATTAGTCAGTTACAGACCTTGCCCGTTTCCCCTGGGGCCGTAGAGATCTTCATCCACGGCGCATCATCATAGTCAACAGTTTTCATTTCTTTGCGATTGGTCCCTCCAAACCCCAATTTTTCATCGCGACCCCTCTTTTTCTTATTCCCATTCACCCACACCCCAAAGAGCTTCAAACCCTCTCCGCTTTTCTCTTCAGTATTTTCGTCGTCATCATCATCATCACCAGTGGTCTCGATCTGACCGTTCAATTCATCACAGGTGAGCATGATGCGATTGATCTGATCAGGGGCAACCTTGACATACTCGGTGAGGAAAGAGATGAGCTCGTCGCATTGCTTCTTCGTCTGCGCGAGCTCCGAGGTCAGCATCTCGTTGTCTCTCTTCAGTTTCTTGTTCTCGTCCGACAAGTCGGCGAATTGGGCCCTCGCCGGAGCCTCCACCGACCCCGCGTTCTTGGAATCCGGGGACGAGGTGGAGGTGGACCCTAGGTCCTCGCCGGAATTCGACGGCGAGGAAGGGCTGCCGATGGCGGCTGCGGCGGGGGATTTTCCACCGGCCGGGGATGACGTTAGTGCCTTACGGCGACGGATCTTCGTGAGGAGCTCTTTTTGGCCTCGTACGAAATTCTCGTTAGCAAATTCCCATTTGTCGGGCACAGTTTTTCGAAAGCCCTGAGAAAACAGCACAGCATTAGAATATTACAATTTTCTACTCCAATATAAAAAAGTAATTATTACTCCTTAATCTTTATTATTTTTTAAAAAATCAATAAAAATCAGTATAATATGAATGGATTTTAATAAATTAATGTCAAATTTTGAACAGTAAGATCATGAACCAATACTGGTTAATTCCATGGATCCCATCAAAAGCATGTTTATTTACAGAAAAAGTTATGGCATTAGTAATAGCTTAGGATTAGCAATGTTATGTAGTATTAGCAATGCTAGGTAGTATTGCTAGTCTAATCCCATAGAATTAAAAAGGAAAAATATTACTTTACCTTCTATTTTACAAAAATACTAACAAAATCATAATTTATATAATAATTTTTTTTACTTGATTTCATAAATTTCAAACCAACGAAAATCATTACACTAGTACACCACCCAATACAATTTATCTTAAATCTTTAAATACCACTTCAATAGTAATTACCTCACTCAAGCACACACATTCATAATTTCATATTGAGTCTAATAAACGAACATAGCCTTTTTAAGTCAAGGTCACTAGAAGCCCTGATATAGCATTGGCTGAGAGCTGATTGAGAGCTCTAAAAAACAGGAGCACTAATCAGTTCTAATGAGTTGAAAATTTAATTAAAAAAAAAAAGAGACAAACTCAACCATTATGATCTCATTAGAGCTCTCTTAGTGCTCCCAATTTAGTACTCCCAAATTTATTTGAGCATTGGCTTGCCAAATTAAAATGTAGTTTATGACCCTACTCAAAACACAAGTCGGATATTAATGGATGATATTAATAGACTACTACTTTGTAGATTGTGTACAAACTTTCCTCGCGTCATTGATATATCAAGTTATCAACCACATGACAATAAGACAATAATTATAGGATATCAATGGATGATATTGATATACTACTCTGTAGATTTTTTTTTTTTTTTTTGAACACAAAAAAAGGGCTCTGTGGTGCCATCATGGCCCCGTTGGGCCCTAGCCCCGGGGTAACCGGTTGCCAGCTAGTAATTAACCATCACTAAGTGAGGGACCCACCACCAGAGCACCAATGGAGGGCAGACACACGCCGCAGCAGAGGCCAGGAACGAGGGGAGTAAAGGGCGAGCTCTCCGAAGAGATAACACACAGCCCCCTCCTAGGAATCGAACCTAGGCTCCCTGCTGTGAAACATGCCGCATCCTCCACCAGGCCACCAACCCTGGTGGTTACTACTCTGTAGATTGTGTACAAGCTTTCCTCATGTCATTGATATATCATGTTATCAACCACATGACAATAATTAATGTATAGTACTATCTACAATTCAAAATATCATTATAAACTTTGTAAAAAAAATTTCCCAATAATGTTCATAAAATAACTACTAAAACTGCTAAATAATTTTCAAATTTAATTTATTTTTCCCATTTTAAAATGTCTAAAATTTTAAATGTAAAATTATAAGCACATTGTTTACATCCACCGCTAATATTGGCTAGTCTATATAGAAGGGTACACAGAAATTGCATTTTCTGTCACAATTTCTCACGGAGATGCATTTATCGTCTAGACAAAAATTGTGAACAAGAATCCAACTTGAATCTGGTGAGAACCAACAATGACATCGAGATAAAGAATCTTTGTTGGTAACAACTAAAAAATACTTTAATTTTAGTGAATTTTTTAAGATTTGTGTTAGAATTTTTGTTTTTCGGATCCCTCTAATTTAGATGGATCTAAAAATAAAATTGTTTTAAAAATTCACTAAAAATAAAAAAGAAAACTTTTTAATTTTCTTTTGTCTTTTCTGAAATTTTTTTTTTTAATTTTCTAGTCCTAAAAGTGAAAAGTGTTATATTTTTTTTTACAAATTTATTAAAAATGAAATTTTTTTCAAACCCACTGTAAATGACACATTCAAATAAATGGTTAATTCTAATCAATTTTTCAAGTACTTAATATTTTTATTATATTAATAACCTCACCTTTTTTTAATACCAATATATTAGTGACACATAAAAAATATCCTCAAAAACATTAAAATATATTTTTAAATATTATTTAGAATAAAAAGATAATTGCATTCTTAATTGTTTTTTTTTTAAATAAAAAAAAACTATTACAAATGTCCTAAAGCTGGAAAAAAATAAACAAACAAATATAAGAGCATTTCCAACGGTTCACTAAATTTTTCACCAAATCTGAGTAAAAAAAAGACTATTTTCTTAATTTGATACAGACTGCTCCAATAGTTGTCATCAACTGCACTCTCTTACCTCCACCCACTGTGAGCTCTCTCTCTCGGCAAGACCCACTTCAACTCTCACACACACAACACACTAATACACAGAGGGCAGCACACACGGGCATGGAGGGAGAGACCCAGACTCACTCTCTCTCTTTGGGGGCTGCTGTGAACACACACCCACACGGCAACACACTCAGTAGACACAGAGACACACAAGACACCATTAACACACACACCCCGCAGACCCATGCACATGGCATACCGACACTGAGCTTCACACACAGCACACACAACTGATACACTCATCACACACATGCATGACACAACACACACACGACACAAAGATTCACACATACATGACAGGGGTAGACCGGTGGGGCGGTCGACCGGTTAGTGTATTTTTTTTTTTTTTTTTACCTTTTTGAACTTTTTGACTTGTTTGAACTAACCTATTTGCAAGGGAACTGGTGGACCGGTTGGTCAACCGGCCGGTCAACTGATAGGTCTACCGGTTGCTCTCTCCAACGGTCACGCACAGTGAAATGGTGAAAGAAGCTACCTCTTCTCACTTTGATAAATTTTTTGGTGAATTCTGAATTTGATACCGATTTGGTGCAACCGTTAGAGTATCAAACAGTAATTTTTTCACCAAAATTTATATTTGATGTCAAGTTTGATGAGCTGTTAGAGATAGTCTAAGAAAAGGAAACATTGTCAGAGGATTAGACAAGGATAGGAATAGAAAAGCTAAAGGGAGAACCTTTTGGGGCACGCCATCACTGAGAGTGGACAAATTATTAGATGGCCGAGGACACAAATGATCATTTACAAATTATCATATTTTTTTTATATTTTTTAATTATTTAATATAAAATTATGAATTTCATCCATCACAATAGGACATGGAAGTGTTTTGAGACGGTAATTAAAAATTAATTTTTTAATTTTTTTAAAAAATATATAAAAATAATAATATGATAAAAATAAATTAAAAAATATAAAATATTAAAAAATGACTTTTAACTTCCTTTGAAAAAAAAAAAAAACTTAAACCAACCAATAAATTCTCATGAGAGTGGGCCCACCAGGTTGACAATATATATATATATATATATATGTATGTATCACGCATATATGTATTGTACTTTTCTGGTGGATTCTAGACGTTCCTCATTTTCTATGCTAAACCAGGATTGCGAATTTTTTTTTGTGAAAAACATTATCAAATATCGAAGTAGGACCCACTACCCGACAGCTATATCGTAGCTGGTTGGACCGGACATCTCAGCGGATGAGAGTTGTGTGTGTGTGTTATACCTCCTCCTGCCCTTCGTCGACCTTAATCTGGTCAATTTATCTAATTCTGAAATTTACCATTATAACCCTCACCTAATACCATTTCTCTATGATGATTTGGTCTTTTCACACAAACTCACCTAAAAACCACAGTTTTTTCAACATTTGAGAAAAAACTAGAATTAAAACCTATGAAATTTCAAAGACAAATATGGATACAACAATTATTCTTGCCTAACATCATATTAAATCCAATATTTAAGTAAGCTTTATGACTTATATGTATTGACATATGAGATTTAACAGTTGCATACAATTGTAAGCAAGCAATAAGATAATATTCAATACTATTATAGATCAACCATATTTGATATGGGCTATACGTTTCATTTTTGTGTATTATTCTGTACTAAAAATTCTATAATTCCAGCAGTATTTAATTTTTTTTTAATTATAAATATTTTAATTAAATTAATGGGATTTTTTTAAGTAAAAAAAAGCTAGTTCATTTATTTATTTATTTTAAATTAGGTTAATTGATTATAGTTTTTGGACTCTAACCATGGCAAAAAATTGAATACCAAAAACTGCCGTAGTTTTTTGATAACAAATAGTAATAAATCAGAATATAAAATGAATATTTTGATAAATTTAGAGAAAGAAATGAAGGTAATTAAAAAGAGGTGAGGTTACTTACATAGGTGTTAAGTTGGCGAACAAAGCTGGAGAAGTTGTTGTGCTTGAAGTAATTGGGCAACAAATCCTTAGCGAAATCAGCTGTTTTCCAGACCACAAAGGTCGTGCCGCTTTCGTTCCACGACACGACGTCGTCGCTGCTCGGATCATCCACCAACTGGTACGTCTTCGTAAGAAACGGCGCCGGAACTGACCTCTGCCCCATCTCCCACACTCACCAAATCAATCAATTGATCGATCAATCAATCAATCAATCACCAAACCCACAAAAAATAATCTGTGAAATCAAAACAAATGTGAAAAAACAACAATAATAATCTAGTTAAACAACAAGAGATCTGGGGACAGCTCGAATTTCCCTAATCTTGTTTTTGGGGATGTTCAAGTTTTTGTGTTGTTTAGAAGGAACCACTAAAGAGCAAGAGAGCAGTGAGGAACTCCCAACCCCAGCAATAGAACCCAGAAACGAATACTCGAGAGTGCGCCAGATCTGTGATAGAACGCTTCGCTTTGTTAGCTTCTTCCATTATTCTCTTCTTCTTCGTATGTTGAGGACACGACCATAACTAGGTTTCTACACTCAAGCTATACTTGGTTTTCTCTGTGTATGTGTGTTTTTGGTTGCTATTCTGAGTTGTGTGTACGAGAAACTCTTTTTGTGAAAAAGCAGAGGAGACACGATGGCCACCAGAGAGAGAGAGAGATGAAGCAGGTTCTGGAAAATTTTAGCAGCAGAGTGTTTATAATAATGGGGGAGAGAAAGAGGAGAGCACTTTGTGTTGGGTCCTCGTTCAAACAAGTAGATAAGAGAAGAAAAATAAAAAAATAAAAAAAAAGACACGGTTTTGTCTTGTTCTCCCTCTGCTACTACCCTTTACGAAGAAACAGAGGAAAATGGTTTCCGTGATATTTTAAGCAACCGGTTTCGTCCCAATTCCGGTTTTGTGTATAATCTAAACAATTCTTTTTTTTTTTACAAAAATTATTTGCATGATTATTTAAAATGATTTAAATAAATATATATTTTTATAAAAAGATATGCATATAAAAAAATAAAAAAAGTGATATGAATTAAATAAATACATTTATATATGTTAAGCCAAATACCTCATAATTAAAGTTTAAAATTCTAACCCTACATTCTAATATTATGTTTGGTTGAAATTTTTAAAAATTAATTCCAACGTTACATCTGAAAACACATTCCAATATATGTTTGGTAGTGTGAGTTTTTGATTTTTGGAATTTGCGTTTTAGGTTGTCCCCCAAACATCTCCTAGATGTCCAACTGATTGTCTGACGGATTGATTTCAAAAGTATTTTTTTTTTTTTTAAACAATTATCAATCAATACCTTTTTTTTGAAAAAAAAAAATTATATTTTTTTTTGATATTTTTTAAATATAGAAATTATTTTTTTAGACCAAAATGACAAATTATTTTTTTGAATTGAATTTTAAAAAGAGTTTGGTTATAAATTTTGAATAGAATTTTGAGTTGTATGTTTTATTATGAGTTATAAGTTTTTTAATGAAGTTTTGAAAATTCTTTTCAAAACTCATAACAAAACAACTTTTTTCATATTATATGTTACATAAAATTCAAAACTCATAACTAAACAAATTTTCTCTTTTCAAATCATAATTCCAAAACTTATAAACTCAAAATATAACTCTATTATCAAATTATAATTATAAAAATCTACCAAATACTATCTCATTCTTGTGATTCATAATTATAAAAATAGCACTATAATATTATTTTCAAGTGTTTGGTATTATCATGGATTTTAATTTAGTTATTCTAATTGTTTATTTTGTGTTGGGTCTATCCCACATCGACTCGGGAGGGACTCCTCGTCTACTTTATAAGCGTACTGGCCCCCTCCATCTGTCAGCAGGCCTTTTCCCCTCTTCCAAGAGAAGGAACAAAACCATGAGGGGGCAAGCTCGCAGCGACCCAACCCCGAAGCGAACAATATGTTGATACACCACGAGAAACCAGGCATGTGCATTGGCGCTAGAAGGAGGGCATCCGGCAAACTCTCCCGCTGTTCGCGGCCCAGTCCGCTGGGGGGTTATGTTGGGTCTATCCCACATCAACTCGGGAAGGACTCATCGTCTACCTTATAAGCGTACTAGTCCCCTCCATCTGTCTATGTTGGGTCTATCCCACATCGACTCGAGAGGGACTCCTCGTTTACCTTATAAGGGTACTGGCCCCCTCCATCTGTCAGCAGGCCTTTTCCCCTCTTCCAGGGGAAGAAACAAAACCGTGAGGGGGCAAGCTCGCAGCGGCCCAACCCCAAAGCGGACAATATGTTGACACACCGCGAGAGACCAGGCACGTGCATTGGCGCTAAAAGGAGGACCTTTGGCAAATTCTCTCGCTGTTCGCGACCCAGTCCGCTGGGGGGTTATGTTGGGTTTATCCCACATCGACTCGGAAGGGACTCTCCGTCTACCTTATAAGCGTACTGGCCCCCTCTATCTGTCAACAGGCCTTTTCCCCTCTTCCAGGGGAGGAACAAAACCATGAGGGGGCAAGCTCGCAGCGGCCCAACCCCAAAGCGGACAATATGTTGACACACCGCGAGAGACCAGGCATGTGCATTGGCGCTAAAATGAGGGCCTTTGGCAAATTCTCTCGCTGTTCGCGACCCAGTCCGCTGGGAGGTTATGTTGGGTTTATCCCACATCGACTCGGAAGGGACTCTCTGTCTACCTTATAAGCGTACTGGCCCCCTCCATCTGTCAACAGGCCTTTTTCCCTCTTCCAGGAGAAGGAACAAAACCGTGAGGGGGCAAGCTCGCAGCGGCCCAACCCCAAAGCGGACAATATGCTGACACACCGCGAGAGATCAGTCCAAAAATTGTCGTTTTCACCAAGACCACGACCATAATGCTGAAGAGTGTGTTAACCTCAAAGATCAGGTCAAGGGCTTGATTCGCCAAGGACGCCTGAGTCGATTCACTAAAACTCGCCCTCAGCAGAGACAACGGACTGAACCTATTAGAATCACCGCGGCCTCCACCCCTTAATTGACGACGGCAACCCCGCTACCAGACCTTTCCTTGCTGCCCCTTGCAAAGTCACCCAACTTTCTTCCTGGCCCGAAGCCTTGTAGCACGCAAAAAACTAGTCCACCGTCATTTCAGCCCCCTCGTTCGCTTGCGGCCACGCGCTCGCACAGGCCAGTAGGATCTTCCACGCATTGGGCATCAGTTGGCCTGGAGCCACCTCCGACCGATCCAACACATCCACTACTATTCGGGGACGTGGCAACCTCAAGCCCCCCTTCAGCGCCTCCTCGTACAGGACAAACTCCCCTGGACGAGCGTCAGAAGCCCTTTCCCTTGACGCCGGCAGTTTCAACTCTATTTCTGTGGGAATCTGGTATCTCTCGCGCATACCCTCCAACTCCCCTACGGTAACGGTCGACTTGTCAGCCTTCGAATGCCAGTGATCTGGCTCAACCTGGCTGATTGGCTTCGGAGCCGCTATCATTGTGGCCGAACGAGGTCACCCCGACAGTTCCCCCCCACTCCCCACTTGCCTTTCTGTTCTGTTTTGCTCCGCCAAATCCACCGCATCGTCGTCCTCTAATGGATCAATCCTGGTGGTTGCATCTTCTTTTTGGGTCATTTATGTGGTATGTCTAGGAATGGCTTCAAATGCGGGTGCAAGAAAACTCACAAAGTGTTGCAGGGGTGTATCGCTAGCAACGAAGGAGTTTACACTTGGAATGTTTTGATTTTCTTCAAAAAGGTAGGTAAAGCAAATAATACCAAAGGCCCAAGGCTTCCCTGTATTCCAAGGGTCACAATTAAATTTCGCCAGTTCGAAAATTTTCAAAAATTCGCCAAAACTGTCTTTTCAACACTCTATAATGACCTATCGTTTCACTTATTGCCTAACGCCTAACCTTCCCCACTACAAGATTCTGCCACGTGTACCATCACGATCCACTGCCCCTTTCCCCTTCCCTGTCTATTCCACTTCACTTCACCACATGTCCCGCCGCCTTTCGAGCCCCGCGCCGCACCACCAACCCTTCGCCGTCGGCTCTTCCCATGGTCGGTCTCTCCACTCGATCACCTTTTGTGATCGGCCCTCCTCATGGTCGGTCTTTCCCCTCGGCCACCCTTCATGCTGGCCCCTCCTCAAGGTCGGCCCCACACTCGGTCGCTTTCGCGGTCGACCATCCTCGTAATCGGTCACCATTCGCGGTCGGGCCTCTTTATGGTCGGCCCTTCCACTCGGCCACCTATGCGGTCGACCCTCCGCATGGTCGGTTGTCACGACCCAAACCCGTCCCTGTAGGTTTAGCACCATAACCGGCCAGTAATCCGTGGATTACCAAAGGCCTCTGAACAGATTAGCAAAAAAATAAAGGGCTGCGGAAGCAATAATACAAAATAGACAAGGTCCAATGAGTTGTGATAACGTACATGGGACAGAACATTTCGAAACTTATATATAGATATACTTAAACATGCCAGTCCAGATACACAATATTCACAAGGTATTTACAGAATGTATTTCCCAAGACCTGACTTTACAGAGCATATACAAAGACTAGCATGTATACAAAAACAGCCATGGCATTAGGCTTCGTTCGGAACCTCCTTGGGAGGCACAACAGTTGGCTGACAAAAATAGAATAGAAGGCTGTCAACTCTGGCCCTAGTCATGTGTCGGCTCACCTACATACATAATATAAACTGTGAGCGAAAGCCCGGTGAATAATAATAGAGTAAAGGGTTTCAATGAATGAGTTCGTACAGATTCAGAAATTATAATTCAGATTTGTATCAAATTCATCGTTTGTCCAGATCATATACAGGCAGAAATCATAAGTCATGATTAAGTTTACGTGATACATCCATTAGCATTAACAGAACAGAACAGAACGTATACACGTGAGGTTACGAATAACCAGTTCCATAAAGAAACCTCCGGATTCGGGCAACAGAACAGAAGCTGAGCCCCCGTGACAGGGCCTCCGGTACGGGTAACAGAGTGCAAACAAAAATACGTTCCATAAAGGAACCTCCAATACCAGGTAACAGCTAACAGATATCACATGATGCCAAGGATGTCACGAATACATATCAGAAATTGAACAATCATTCATTGTACAGAACATATTATTTCAGGAAACAGATCTTGTTTTATCACACAGAAAGTAGATACAGTTAGAACATAACTTTACTAAGTTATTACTCACAGTTGGCCTTGAGACAAACAGACGGAGCAGATTAGTCAGGCAGAACGCGGCACGTAACCTACATAACACATAACAAATACACACTTGAAACACACGTTCTAATTGTACAAATCTTACGTCGATGGCTCTTAGTGTGTTTCTAACCTTTAATCCTTATTAAAGGGTCTTAAACATGGCCTAGGAATGCCTAGGATGAAATGAGGATACAAATGCCTTGAAAACCATTTCCTAAATTTTGTTGAAGATAAGGTCCACGCTCGAGCGTGGATTACCCCGCTCGAGCGGACATGCAGATGTTGAAGCTCCGCTCGAGCGTGAACTTCCTCGCTCGAGCTGACTGTAAAATCGACAAAAGTACTGGATGCAAGATTTTCACGCTCGACAGGTGCTCGACCCCCGCTCGAGCGTGAGACTCAGAGTCTCGCTCGAGCGTGGATTCCCCCGCTCGAGCAGACTGCAAAACAATCAAACTTTTGGGTATACGCATTTCACGCTTGAGCGTAACTATAGACGCTCGAGCGGAAGTGCATGTCCTCAGGATTCACGCTCGAGCGTGAA